CCTCCCAGAGAACCCAATACCCCTTAATTCAGGAATATACCTTAAATCATAATATTAAGACCCCTATAATTGAAGGTGTATTCCTTGCATTGGGTTCTCTGGGCTCCAAGTCAGCCCTGCGCCGCCTTGATTGAAGCCTACAACAAATCCTGGGCGCAAGTCCTCGGATGGAGTACGGTGTACAGGATTAGTTTAGGGTTTAGGGTTTAGGGGTTTAGGGTTTAGGGTTTAGGGTTTAGGGTTTAGGGGTTCATACATACTTCAACCCAGAAGGTACCGAACACAAAATCTTTTCGGTTACCAAGTCCTTGGTGACTCCTAGGTGAGAAGGCGGGGCTTTGGCAGCTCTCCATCAGCCTCCTTGCTGCTATGGCATCTTCGCGTCTTCCTCGCTCTCTTGAGGCACACTTTGGGTTAGAGTGCGAAGTAAAGGACCTGAATCTGAAGGCCTTGAATCTCAGTAGAGTCAATCCTACGAATAAGCCTGCAAACCCGGTAGCACCAATTGGGTTTGGCGTGCAGGATGCGAGGATTTCGGGTGCAGCTGACTTAGTTCGAACTTAGGTTGGTTCAGCTGCTCGGAGATTAGCTCGTTTCTTGTGAACTATACCTGCCATCCTTTCTTATTGCTTTCAATCGGAAGATGGTTGTTGTGAGGGTCATGAGGATTGCCATGATGGTGGCGAGGGTGATGAAGATGATATTGTGGTGGTGATCACGCTGACAATGGTCATGCTGTCAGTTGCAGACAAGGATGCTACTCTGCGCATTGCTCCTATTGCTCGACGCCAAACCACACGCGCAATTCAACGAAGCAGCTACTCTAATCAAAATCCCAAGCAGTACGGCTGCTATTTGAGCCCCTGACAAGGAGCCACTTGAAACCTTCAAGTCACGACATGGACAACAAAAACCTAGAAACCCTTTGCCCTAAGTTCTGGGACCCTTAATCCCATTACCTTAAATAACCATTGTATAGTCCTTATATACCCCTTATATAGCCAGGTAATCCCCATATGAACCCCAATAACCTACAAGGGTGAAGTAAGCAAGGCAAACCCTGAGCACTGGAGGGCGTAATCCCTGGAAACCCTCAGGCCCTTCTCACGCTAGAGCCCCAGACAGCCACAGCATGGAAAGCACGAATGTCGGGGCCTTAATAATAAGAGTCGGGTTTTGGGGGGGGTATATTGTACTATGCACCCCCCTAAACCCTAAACCCTAAACCCGAAACCCTAGAAGCCCTGAGCCCTCGGAATGCCATGCGCAGGGCTTCAACGCTGCCATCTCGAGCTGTGAGCGCGAGGGGCGGTGGGTGCTTCGGTGAAACGGTGAGTTCGGTACTATACCTTAAGGACGAAATGAACCCTAAAAGGGTTAAAGGTTCATATACCTCATATACCATATTGGGATTCATAGTATAAGGGTATAGGGCCCCTACTTTTAAGGGTCATTTCGTCTTTAAGGTTGGGGGGCCCAAAAGATTTCCGCAAAGGATCTAATTACCCTGAACCCTAAACACCCTAAACACGAAGCCCCAAACTCTAAACCCTAAACCCTAAACCTCAAACCCTAAACCCTTTTCAACCCGAAAACCCCCTAAAACTATGAGGGCCCGGGCGCCTTGAAGGGGTTCTTTAAGGGATCTAGAATCTATAAGTGCCTTTTTTCGGGGGGGTACGCCCCATGTGCCCAAGCAGCATATACTGTGGCCCTGAATATACTGCTTCAGGGACTACTTGCAGAACAAAGTATATACTATCTGGGCACATGGACCCTTACATACAGAGAGAGAGAGAGAGAGAGATAGAGAGAGAGAGAGAGAGCAGAGTACTACAGGCCTGCTCAAGGAGTTGATAAGGGTACGACAGGGCATTGGTATAGGGCGTTTCTTTTTTGAAAAGCTTGGCAGGGTGGAACAGGGTTTTGGGGGTATATATTTGCGGTAAGAGACTGAAGGCGATAGTAAGACGAGTTTTTTTTGTGACCCGTTTAGTACCATGAGAGCTTGACCCTCCCTCTATTTGGGACGCCTCATTTATAGAACTCCTCCCCGAAGTACTTTCGTAAAGACTTTCGAGATCAGTGTCACCACTCTGTATTTAGGGAAGGTTGTGGATGCTGGCTGCGGGCAGGGTCCTTTTTGGCTTTGAGATGAGATGCAGTTCTAGTTGAAGTTTAATACCCTAAACCCTAAAACCCTAAACCCCTGAACCGTGATGCTAGTGAGACGAGCCTTCGGGGGTGTCGGCATGCCTTAGATTCACTAGCAAGACATACAGAGATGCTGCAAGATGGAAGTCGATGGCGCGCCTTCAACGCTAAGAACTCCTTCATGAGCTTCCCATGTATAGGGGCCTTCATGATGAGAATAGGGTTTGGGGGGTATNNTATTCTAATTCTCAAGGCCCCTACACATTACACCCCAAACCTCAAAGCTAAAACAAGGAGGCAGCTTCTCTTCTTCTCTCGGAGCTGCAATGCTGCATGCTCCTTCCGGATGTGATCTTCGGCGGCACATCGGTCATAAGCACCAGGTACTCCCATGAAACCGAGGCACAACTATGCAAGTCACCATGGGCTCCCTTTTCGGGGCTGTTGTTGCTTGTATTGTCTAGGACCCGTGGTCAGTATTGGCTGGTCTTCGGAGAAAAAAAAACTCGTACCTGTAGGAAGCGTACGTTGGTGAACTGAGGCCCAAAGGCAGTAAGCTTCAGCATCCCTAAACCCTAAAC